GGTAAGATGTATTAACTGTGAGCCTAGAAACTATTTTCCGTGGAGGATGAGCTTAGTTTGTTCTGGAGAATGATTGTTTATTAGAAGAAATTTCTGGGAAGGACCACTCCTTGACCATCTCAACCTGGGAAATGTCAATGTGAGGCTTTACAAGAAAAAGAACAAAACCTAGCAGCTTGCTTTAAAAAAAGAAAAACAACCAAAAAACCCCAAAAAACCCAAATGCAGCAGTTTTACAAAGGGTTTTTTTTTAGCTGAATAAAAGGCCTTGAGGCTGCATGAAAACAGCACCAAAACTTTGATATGTTCCTTTGGGAGGATTAAACCAGATGTTTTCTCTTTTCCAATGGCCAGTGTCTGACATTTCCAAAGAAGATACAAAGAGCACTTCTGGGATGTGCATTAGAAAAAATTCTGCTAGCAGTTTATCGGCTTGAATGAAATCTGAAGTCAGATAATCTCAGAATCTACATCTGGTCATGCTCATGCTGGAGAAAAGCCATGGCAAGGCCAAGGGTGCCGGTGTAAGGAGGAGCAAAATGCATTCCGAAGTTACCGATGTCACTGATGGTAACGAAGGCAGCATAAAGCTCTTCACGCTAGGTAGGGACAGCTCAGGGGTCTTCTGCATGGCCTCTTTCAACAAATTTCAAAACCATAACGATGTTTGTGTTTGCAAGGATTAGATACAGCCTGAATTTTGCATATTAATATATGTGGATTTCCGCAATTTACTCACAAACTCCTTTGCTGTTAAAGTTTTGCAGCCAAAAGTGATATCCGTGATGGCTGCAGAATGCAGGCATACAATAGCAATTTGGGGTTTTTTCGTTCTTTTTTTTTTTCCACCTAGCTGTTTTGCATACAGATTCACAGATGTGGCAGGACGTGTTTTGGAATCTCTGCGACTGGGGTTTGCCAGCACCCATTTGACAAATGTGCCCTTTTGTATCACTAAGGTTAAACTGCTGCCAGAAATGTCCTCCATGATCAACAATAATGATTACTAATTTGGAATTTAGAGCACTGTGCTTTGCCATCCACAAGCAGGATTTCAGTAGTCTTCCAGCCAGGTACATCTCTAGTTATGATAATTGTCTTTCAGTTAGGGAGCTAATTGACTATACTGCAGCAAGTATGGAATAAATCATGTTACTATGGTAGCCAAGGTTTCTGGAAAACAGTAATTCCCAGAGCACAAATGCCATTTCTCTGAATTTTACTTCTTTCCCTGAAAATAGCCTTAACATTACAGAATTGAGAGATCTGAAGTTGCGTTTCACTTTTTTCCAGTAAGAGTTGTGCAGCAAGCTGGATGTTGCTTTTCACTTTTATTTGGTTTAACCTTCATCATGTTGACAGAATACGGGTGTGTGGATATCTTATATACTCAAGCTAATTACTACTGAGGCTGACATCTGAGAAAGGGATTTGAAGGAACAAGACAAAACACAGTCAAAATTTGACCTTGAAACATTAGAAATGAGTCCAAAGGATGGTATCCGGCTTGGAGACTTCTCAACCTGTGCAAAGATTGGACCAAGGTCTGGGTCTGAGCTCTATGGATTTATCTGTGCTAACAGGAGTACTTGGCACTGAAGCCAGACTTTTTGCCTGAGTAGATAAAGGTCATTTAAAGGGAATTCACTAACTTTAAGGGAGCTGAGCACGGCCTCCCCTGGATGTGGTGCATCCATCACTGTTGTCCCGCTCAGTGAATCATGGAATAAATGAGGTACCAGAGACCGTCTCCTCAATAGCATTAATGGTTAAACCGAGTTTGATTTTGTGTCTCTCCTTTTCAGCCACTGGTACATCCACAAGTGTTTTAACAAAGTATTCTGTTCCTCGCTTCCCAGAATACCAAGTGCGTTTCATAACACAGCTGTTGCAAATGTTGTTGCTCTGTACACTTCATGTGTTAGTCTTTCCTGTGCTTCCCTTCTCTGAATCACATTTAATAGACCAAGTTTTATATTTCTCTACTAATTTGTTGAAATTTATTGCATTTGTTGCCTTCCCCTCTTTCTTTTGAAAATCAGGGGAACTTCCAAATTTCATTTAAAACCATTTTGTTCTAATTCATTTTGTTTTTATGGAGCATAGTATTTGTTGGAGGGAGAGAAGTTGAGATCATAATCTGGCACGGTTGACTAAGTTTCTAAATTTTAAACCGCCGCCTTCTCTCTTTTAAAACATTTTCTCTGCCAATACTAAACATTTTGATCATTCAAAATGTAAATTGTACTCCCCATAGATGCTGATGGGTTGCGGATATATTTACATACAAAGGAGCTGTTGAATGACTCACGCAAAAAGTTATTTTCTTGTTCTCAGCCTTAACACTACAGCATTTTTTTCCCCCCATCTTCTGTAGTTTCTGGAATGATTTGCATGCCCATCAGTCTCTGAGCAGTGTTTGAGAAGGTGCATGTGGTTAAAATGTGTGGAGCGGGAGAACCACAAATGGTTGAAATATTTTTGCCAGAAGTGCTCGTGATAGCCACTTTCCATGAGTTGTGTTATGTTGCATGGAAAGAATACCCAGAGGAGAATCCCGAGGGCAGCGGTGGTCAAGGGAAGGAAAGTCTGCCAACCTCTTGGGGGGAGGAGGAGAAAGCGAGGGTTTAGTCAGAATATGAAATCCAGCGGTTTGAGCAGGGGTATGATGTTCTCAAGGCAGTTAGCACCTTATAATACCAATCTTGCTAGCTGGGTGTGTGCTACAAGATCACGGTTGTGTTGGTCCACAGTGATGGTACCTATTCCTCATTAAGCAGTATCTTATGGGACAAGCGTAACTTGGTTCTTCCATGTCCATATGTCTGCTGGGCTTGAGCCTTTGGCACAGATTCCTCTGGCATGAAGAACAAGTTGTTTCTATCGTAATATTCAGAATATCAAGCCTGGTTTTGTTTGAGATGGCAGATCAGCACGCTGGAGCTGCTCAGAGCGCTCTGGAAAGCCCCGAGCTTCTGTACATCCCCCAGGCAGCATTTCAAAATGTGCTTGGAACACGTTCGCACTGCTCAGGACTGGGATCCTCTCATGAGGCCCATAAGAAACTCTGAGACTGTAACTGGCCATAACTCTCTGATGTTAGCATGACAGATGCTCTTAGATCTCCTTGTTATTCCTTAGACTTATCCAAATACTAGGTCCAACACTGTCATATCAGTCTGGGAATGGCCCAAGCCTTTCATCAGCTATTTATAGGATTACTTTATAAACAACTTTATTTTATATGTGTGATAGTAGTCCTTGAATCTGAGGAGTGCATATACAAGTCTCTCTTGGCTCACTTCCTCTGACTAATTTACTGTCTTCCACCTTGATTTTTCTTTTTATTTGGAGCCCACTCAAGAGTACACAGGCTAAAGATGACCCTATAGGGGACTTGCATCCATGCAGATGTGGTTTTTGACCAGCAAGCAGGTCAACCGATGATCATCTCTACAGAGGCTGCACCGCCCTTCCCTGCTTTTGTCACAGCCTTCTATTGACTGGTTTTTGTGTGATCTATTTATTATGCTGTATTATTCACTTCAGAATTGATAATGTTTGTGTTAAGTCCTAAACATAGCGTCAGGAGGTAGGTAGAGGCTTTTCAGGCTGTGTGACCTCTCCTAGCAAACTTTGAAGGGCATCTGTTGACCAGCCCTGGTACTGTTTGTTTTGCAAGGAAGCAGGGCCTATAAAAAGGCTTATTACACAATGTAAATTATTTTCTTTTTACTAAGCAAATATTTGTGATGTATTTTGGGAGATCAAGCATTCAAAGTCAAAAAGCAGGATACCTGCCAGGGATGTGGGAAGCATGTAAAGGGTACCTTTAATTGGGCAAACATGGAATGGTTTAGGTATCTTGGGTCTACAAGGAAGCCCACACAGGCTCCTACCCCTATTTTCATTGAACTCCGAGGCTTTTTAGGCATCTCAGCAAATCTGGAAAGCTCTTCCCAAACTGTCTTTGCTTCAACAGCTCCACTAGTTATTCTTGCAAAAGCCAAGGTGCTGTAGCACAGAGACAAATCCTATGACTTTAGCAAATGAGCAAGCTCCTAATATGGGGCTTTCCTAAAGGGTAGTTTATTTTATAAATACCTGAAGTAACTAGCAATGCCCAGTTATGGAGAGCACGTCACTAGCTGGACGGCTGCTTGCAGCTGGTATCGTACTTTCTGGATCATTCCTTTGACTTGAATAAAAGTTGCAAAGACAGTACGGCTAGTTGGCTTAGGAGTAGCAGATTGATGCTAGTCAACATGTAACTTCCACATGTGAATTTCTCCCTGTGCTGTGGTATTGACAGGAAACCCACTTTATGGGCATGTAGTTTATAAACAGTGAGAATACTGGAAATGAGGTCATATTTTGTATAAACATTTATTTCAACAGTTTAAAGAACAAGCCATTCAAAACATCTGGAAATAGCAGGAACATGAGGCATATATAATAGCAATATCTTAAATACACATTAGTAATACAAAGTCATCTTTCACTCTGATAAAAGTTAACGACTTCATGTTCTAAAAAATATTCAAGCCATGAAATATGTTTAGGTAATATGTATATAGAGCATCTCTGTATCTTTCTTCTTTCCTGTAGAGTCTGAGACACTAGTAATTTGTCTGACAGAAACAATGTGCTACATCTGTAAGGCTGGATTGGTTTGGATTATATATGCAGATCTAGGCAAGCAATTTACCCACATCATGATTATATGTGCATATAAGCGACAGATCAGGGTTTTGAAGACCACGTGCACATATATTCCCACAGCTGCTCACCTATTCACAACAACTGATGTAGTTATAAATCATTAGGCCTGGAGTTATTTCTAGAATGCCCCTACCTATATTCTAACTAAACTAAGACCTACTTTTCATTATAACTCTCTGCCCATCAGTGTGCTGTTGTGCTCCCAGTGGTGATTTGGTAAAACGTGTTTGTCCTGTCTTAGTATGTGTGGATTGATAAATAATTGTGCTCTTGATCAGCTACAACTGTTTTATCCTCATCTCTAAGGCAAGCATTTCTCTTTCTATTTCGTAGGGAAGGTCAGCATTAATTTGCACTTCAAAGTATTGTTTGATTTCTTCTACCTCCTTTTCCCAGAACTCTTTGGAGATATCAAACAGTTCGGTCAGGTTGATGTCTTCTAAACCCTTCAGGTTCAAAGCAGTGTCAGCAGGGACGTAACCTATGGCAGTTGGCTTGGCAGAGGTTTTCCCTTCAATTCTGTTGAACATCCACTCCAGCACACGGGAATTCTCTCCATAGCCAGGCCACAGGAATTTCCCTTGGCTGTCTTTCCGGAACCAGTTAACATGAAAGATCCTTGGTAGTTTTGCAGCTGGACGATGTGCCATGCTGAGCCAGTGGGCCAAGTATTTGCCAAAGTTGTAGCCAAAGAAAGGTCTCATGGCAAATGGATCGTGCATAATGATTTTACCTGTTCAAAACACAAATGGAGAATGTAAGGTAATAAACAGCACATTTATTCTAAAGCACAAAGATTCAGATCCTCCCGGGATTTAGTACTCAGGGTCCCTTAACCACCCTTCTGCATCTGAACCAAAGAGCTTTAAGAAACAATACAAGCATTACCCTAGATACACAAAAAAGGTACAAATTCATTTTTGTAATCAGTGGAAACTAATTTCTTAAATCTCGCATCAAGCAGCCTAAATGAAGATCCTTAAAAGCTGGCTTTCATTGTTCCTGTATTTATGTTGAGCTCTAGCATAAAAGAAAATTTAAGTTTATTTATGCCAGACTGTAACAAGAACTCCATATCGAGGCTTCTGGCAACCCCATGCCTGCACCCTATTCTGTATGCTTGCCACCCAGGGGATTATTTTGCTTAATTTGACTTTTACAGAGAATTTGGCTTTTAATTCCAGTACAAATATTTTCTGTTGTGAAAATGCACAGGTTGCAAAATTAGCTGCCAAGACTGAAAAGCAAAAGAGCAGGGGAGGAGGACAGAGCAGGCAGCCCTGAGAGGATTGCTTTTAATATAGGTAGGCAGATTAAACTTTGATTTACCTTTGTGCTCAGCAGCTGCTGTTGCTTCAGATCTCATAGCTGCTCCTATAAATACCCCATGCTGCCAGTTAAAGGCCTCATATACGAGAGGCACACCTGTAAAGAACAAAATCACTTCAGTAATTAGAGGTCCAGAAACATTTTTGTAACAGGTTTTGCTACCTGAGATACTGCTGAATGCATGCTACTGTATAACATTCTAAATTTTCCTGGGTTTTTTAATCAGTTCATTTCCTGCCCTCTTACAGCAAAGAAGTTTATATGAATGTTTTCAGAACTGGCTACTGATTACTGAACACATCCATGTTTAATTGCTTAGTGGGAGATATCTGGGACCTCAGATTCCCCAGCAGATTTTATTGGAACTAGAATCTGCTCCTGTGGTCATGATATTAGACTCAGACCTAGCATTACTTCTACATTTTTTTTTCCAACTTTACGTGACCTTTAACAGATCAATTTATTTTTACTTCCTTTTCTGGAAACTGTCTACAACTGGTTCATTTCTCTAACCATTTCCTAGCTGAACTAGTTAAACTGTAAGGAAATTGAGACAAGTACAGCAATTTGCCGTCTGTATCGCCCAGGTTAGTGGGTCCTGATCTCTCTCTAGCCCTTTATTACCTGTTTTGTGTTAACATCCAACAATTCAGACATTGAAATATCAGTGGCTGTAAGTGTGTGTCAAAGGCATACATGGAGAAGTTAAACTTAACATGGTTATTTCCTTGGTTTTGCAAAGCAAGCAAGCAAAACTTGTGTCTATGCCCAGCTGTGTTTCAACCCTTCTGTGGTCAGCACTTCAGCCTTGACATGTGGCTGCTGCATGTCTTACCAGCAGGTCTGCGGCCTCCAAATATTATTCCTTCAATGGGCACGCCTTCCGGTGATTCCCATGCAGGGTCCATGATGGGGCACTGGCTGGCTGGAGTGCAGAATCGTGAGTTGGGATGAGCACAAGGTTCCCCTGCACGGAATACAATGAAAAGGTCATAATGGCAGAATTAACTTGAATCCAACAGAGAAAGCCAAGAGATACTGTGGAATGGGCCAGGTTACCGTTATCTGGGGTCCAATCCTTGTTCTTCCATGAAGTCAGCGTTACTTCTGGTGGTAATGGCTCATCAATGCCTTCCCAATAGACACCTCCATCACTGGTTTCCGCTACATTGGTAAAGATGGTGTTCTTGAATATGGTTTTAATAGCATTGGGGTTTGTTTTGACTGAGGTTCCAGGCGCGACACCAAAAAAGCCATTTTCTGGATTGATTGCCCTTAAGTTGCCTGGAAGTTAAATGACAAAATGTTCCTTAGTAAATCAAACTGGTTTAATTCTATCCAGAATTTCATAGCATGTCTTGCTGCACCTAAAAGTAACCCATACTGGACTGTAAACCAACCCAATTTCCGTTCCATACCTTGTTCATCAAATTTCATCCAGGCAATATCATCACCCACACACTCAATTTTCCATCCTGGCAGGCTTGGGTTCATCATGGCCAAGTTAGTTTTTCCGCATGCACTAGGGAATGCTGCCGCAAAATATTTCTTTTTACCTTCTGGATTGGTAATGCCCAGGATCTATTGAAAAATTAATGCAACTGTTAAACACTGTCTTTTTTCTTGCACTTTTCATTTTGAAGATTGTCTCCCAGCAAGTAGTAATGATGCAAATTTGTTCCTACAGAAGCACCACCACATAATATAGGTGACAAGTAACTCAAACTGTACTTTATTAATCAAAAAATCTACTCTTCTTGCCCTTAGAATATCTGTAAGGAGTTCTTATATGATATAATGGTATAATTCAAACATTTGTTTTTATTTTGCTGATTAAAGATACACAAACTATATTCATCTGTGTTTCTCAGCTGAGACAGAAGAAAACCAGGCAATAGTCTTTTGGCTGCACGACTGGAGTGAAGTAAAAGCACTTCATGTATGGATACTTCTGCACTTAGAGTCTGCATATATTCTTTCTGAGACTGTTCTCTTATGCACTTTGAAACTCTTTTTTTCTGTGGTATCTTATGGTAGTAGAATGTTTAAATGATAGCAGAAAATAAAGGCAGGAAGGGTACAAAAATGTTTGCAGATTTTTGAGTGCGTAGACCTCTTCAAAACATGAAAGACAATTTTCAAAACTTGCATTAATATTTTGCTCTTAGACTCAGGGGCAATGTGGATACCCAGTGATGAAGTTTATGCCCTGCTCAAGTACGTGGGTCTGCCTACAAGTAGTCACTGTCAGAAGTTCTAAGTCTGTCTTGGTTTCTGATTTTACACATACTATTTTGAAATGTTTGGTACTTAACCTTGCAAGCAGTTTCCTATTTCTCATAAGCCTGCCATGTGATAAATTCATATCTAATATTACAGGACTATCCATATAAGACTAATTTCATTGATAGCAAGATGTGATGTATTTATGTTGAGTTAATTTAGGGTTTAATGGCTGTTCAAACACACATGATTTAATAGCTCTTACCAGCATGTGCTCAGCTAACCAGCCCTCCTCTTTGGCGATTCTGCTGGCAATTCTGAGAGCAAAGCATTTTTTCCCCAGTAAGGAGTTTCCTCCATAACCGCTGCCAAACGAAATGATCTCTCTGCGATCCGGGAGATGGGCAATTAGCGTTAACTCCGGGTTGCAAGGCCAGTTGTTGATTAATGGTTCTGCAGAACAGAATGTTGTACTCATGAATGCAGCAATTTCCATGCTGGATCACACTGTTGTTTCATCAGCATTGAGACTCTGACAGCAACCCATACCAGATGCTTTAGAGGAAACTCCCTGGTAAGTACTAGGGATAATAATCTCCTTTCCATGAAACTCTCATTGAGCTTTAATTCCTTTAATTGAGTTCTGAACCTAGTGCTGTCTCAAACCACCCTGGTCTTCTATGATGAGTGTCTCCCATGTGCTGAGAACATGCAGCCAGCTCTAAAACATGCCCCTGGGAATTTCCAGGGGTGGCAGTTTTTAATGTCTCTTACCTTTTAGTGGTAGAGGACATCCAACTGAGTGCAGGCATTTTACAAACTCCCCATTGCTCAGGGCTTTCAAAGCAGCCGTTCCCATCCGTGTCATGATCCTCATGCTGGCCACTACATATGGTGAATCTGTCAGCTCGATCCCAATCTTGGACAAAGGAGACCCAATAGGCCCCATACTGAAGGGGATGACATACATTGTACGTCCTGGAAAACAGGGAGTAGCAAGATGTGGCAAAGGGCAAACCAAGGAACTTTTGAAATTATCTTTGTTAACATGGAGGTTGTTTCTCACTCCTTTAAAAGCTGTTTGTCTTGTGGGTGTTTCTGATGGTGTTTAAAGAGCTGTATCTTTGTTTGTCTAATTGTGTGGCAAGAAATTTTATCTTGAATGCTGAAAGTCGATGTTCAGACAAAGTGTCTAGCCAGTAGTAAAGGTGGGTGGAGGCCAAGTTCTCTGTTGGTGTAAATCACTGAACCTGAAATTATTGCCGGGGATGGAGGTCCTCCGTTCTTACCCCACTTCATATCTGCTGCTTAGTTGCTGTGTGACTTCCTGAAAAAAAATCACCCAAATTTTCCTGCCTTACTTTGCCCCTCTTTATGAAGAGGTGAACACTGGAAAGAGACTGAGGACTATCCTTGCACAGGCAGTTGGATCTATGGTAAAGATCTGGATGAAACCAACAAAGTGACTCACATCAAGGATATAAACCTAAACCTTCAGCTAAAATCTTTCTTTAAGGATTACAGTAACTAGTAGTACTAGTGTCTCTGTAATACTGGAAGTTCAATGTCAATCTGTCCTTTTCGTGCCTACCTTGCATGCAGCCTGGGAACCTGATATTGAAGGCTTTCTCAAAATCTTCTTCAGACATCCAGCGACCCAGCTGGCTAGTTCCAGTTTTCGGGATCGGAGTGGTATCTCTCTGTTCTTGAGTGATGATGACAGTTTTGCTCTCAATTCTTGCCACATCTCTTGGATCAGTGAGAGCCAACCAGCTGCATTTCACCAAAAATCAGGAAATTAGCCTTTAATTACCAATATAGCACTTTTTACCCTTCTGTGGGTCTGGTTTAGCCTAAAAGGGTACAATGCTTTGTAAGGTCAAAACTACAGTGGCAGAGCCAGTATTACAGACCATCTCAAAAATCACTCGGATACATCCTCTCATGCAAATTGTTTCAAGACTTTCCAGTACACATACCAAATTATATGGCCTAGGAAGTTCTAGTTACATGTTAATACTCCTTTGCCTCTTATGTCAGTCTTATTCCCTGTTGCTAACTTCCAGGGAAAAGTTAATCTCGTTTAATTCTCATCAGTGTGAAGCTGTTTTGCATGGGGACCACAAAATCATGCCTCAAGCAAAGTGGATGCCAAGCAAGTACTTTAAGGGTTGGGATCAGCTTAGTGGATTGGCATAGTCCTTTAAGTTAGAGGCATCACAAAAGAAATACTGAGTATAAGCATGATCATAAAAGGTGAAAGAGTTTATTAAAGGGGATTCTTTTTCCCCTCTAAAGAATTTTTGCCATCTATTTACAATAGAGAGGATTGTTTTACATTTTCACCTCTGTGCATAGAAATTTTCCACGAGTATAAAAATGTTCTAGTTAAGCTGTCATAACCATCATCACTACAGCTAAGCATATAATTAACAATGAATAATTTATCTGGTGAATCTTGCCCTTTTCTCTCCCAAATAGTCTGCAAACAGATTGCCAAATTCCTGCACTTAGTTATTCAGAAGTCTTTGCAGATTTCTTCCATGAAGATCTCTTGGTCGGCACGTAATTCCCGAGTATGTACTTGTTGTTAATATTCTCCTTTCATGTTGGGTTAGTTGGGAGAGATGATGAAATATTTGAAAAAAGTATTTGCTGAATACATTACAGTCAAAGCTCATCGGCACGATATGAATAATGCCTGTACTGAATAATATTTGAACACCCACAGAGCTATTTGAATGCCACAGAAAAGTATTTGATGAATAAACTAATTGACTAAAATAGTAGAATTATTCAAAAGATGTATTTGCTAAATAATATTTAGCCATTGTTAATGATTAGTTGCATAAGTCTCATGACATTATTTCAGTTTGCTGATGTAACTAATCAATAGAGACAACGTACAGTTGATAGTCCAATTGAATAATATGCTTTACATTTATTTTTAGAGGAAAAAGTTTGCTCTTCCTGAATGTTTCACCTGTGTAAGCTACAGTGCCAAAATGTTCATGGAAAGCAAACATTGAAGGGCTATAAGCAGTTTTAAAAGTAAACAGGATAGAAAATGCATATTGCAATTCTGAGTTGATACTTGACTTCCTCCGGGCTAGCTACTTACCAGTTCTCATACTTGCTCAGCTTCTTGATCATGCCTTGTTCTACCATGATGTCCAGAATTTTTTTATTTTCTTCTTCTGAGCCATCACAGATATGAATGCTCTCAGGCTGGCACAGCTTGGCATTATTTTCAATGAAATCCCTCACTTCTGGAGGCAGACTCTGCAAATCCCCCTGGACAACCTTGGGCATGACGTTTACCTCTGCTTTCAACTGTGGGGGCATTATTGAACCTGTAGTGGGTCTTGTTGATGGCTTTGAAATACTGATCACAATCTAAAATCAAATATATTAGTGTGTTAGCATACTATGATGTTATAACCAGTATCAATAAGCCTTCCTAACAATGTATAACGCAAAGGTAGAATTTATAGTCGATTCGATCACATACTTCTGCTTTAAAATTGAAACAGAGAACTTAGATCACTGGTAATTTCAAGCTGGAAAAAATAGAGGCTATTCTACTTACTGTCTTTGAGATTGAGTTGGATGTCAGAGAGGATTCTGCTGTCCCTTTCAGTTGATCCTGTTTCACTTGCTTTGCGGTACTCTTGCGATCGCTTCTTTCCAAGGAAGCATCCTTCTTCCTTAAATATTCTTCAGGGTAGTGTCCATCCCACCAGGTGAGGTGAGGGAGGCTTGTCCTTTACGTCACCACTGGATGTGTCTTGGGACAGTGCCACTGACATTGTCATCGTGCAGAGTTGTCAACAAAGCAGCCCTGACGAGGTAATCATTTAACAGGTTTGATTAATGAATACTGAAAGCAGTGATTCTTAGCCCCTGGGTTTGCTCTTTTGCAGCAGTTACAAAATTTAGCGGTTTAACCAAACTTTGATCCAATTTGGCTTTGAAACCAAAAGCGCTGTAACTTCTCAGTGTGTGGGAAAGGTTGAGTACAAAGAGTATCTGGAAGCGGGAACACGGGGGTCATCCAGGCAAAGCGCAGTTGGCACATTCGGTAGGCAGATGCTTGCTAGTTGGCTGTGAAGTGGAGGCTTGTCCAAGGTGTGTTTACTCACCTTGGGAACATTGCCTGATCCGGGGATAAAGTTCAACAGTGAGCACTGACAGGCCTGAATAACCACGACATACACCTGCCTGGAGGCCTTATTTTTGTCTGCGCAATTCTGGAAAAAAAAAACCCCACGCAATGTAAATCTAAATGGTGGGTTTCCTTCAGTGCAGGAGAGAAAGTTTTTGCTTGTGGCTTGCTTTAGGCTCTTGCAAACTGAACAATTATGTTCTATTGCTACAAGTGCAGAAGAGGCAGATCAGCAACTGTCTGAGTAATTAACCCCCTCAAATGCTAAGTTTTATTTTATTGGGGGTTTTTATTTTCCTACAGGGTTCACAAAATATTAACCCATGCCTCTAACTGTTCCTGTCTGCCTTTCAACTCTTTACCTTCCTCTACTCCGTTTTAGGCCATTATACCCATAAGGAAAGGCTGATTTTCACAGCCATTTGTCCATGCAGTCTGGGTGTGTGAAGGCTGAAGTATTTCAGACCAATAAAAACTGTAGAAATAACCCTGATGCCATTTCATCTCACTCTGCTTACACCCAGTCCCAGCAAAGCATCTGGGGTCTGGATGAGGCAATGCTTTCATGCCAACCTGTCACTTTTTACTGATGGGGCTTCCACCACGCATGTAAAATACTGTCAATGGTAGTTTGCAGAACAGGAAATCTAGGAATCCCAGCTAAGTTTCAGGGAGTTCTTTAAAGCAACAAAACTGATGTGAGTATCCTATACAAAGGATGTTCATAACCCACTGCCCACTCAGGTTTGTGCAGTCAGCGTGATGTTTCCAGCAAGGCTTTTGCTGCAGCAGGGATTTGCAAGCCCTGAACAGCCAGGTCTGGCAGAGCAGCATGGATCAGGATTGCAGCCACCTTCTGCCCTGCAAGGCTAAAATA